ATGCCTTTGAGCTGTGGTGCTGGAGAAGAGTATTGAGAATACCATGGACTGCTAGGAAAACAAACAGATTCGTCCTGGAGAGGGTTAAACCGGGCGGCTCCTTGGAGGCAAGGATCCTGAGTCTAACATATTTTGGTCATGTTATAAGGAGAGACTGATCCTTGGAGAGGGACATCATCCTTGGGAGGAGAAGGCCCTCTATGAGGTGGATTGATTCAATGACTGGGGTAATCGGGATGGGTGTGTCAGAGAGAATGAGACTGGCACAGGACAGAGCAGGGTTTAGGGCTGTTGTACAGAGGGTCGCGAGGACAGCACATAACAACCACCACCACCTCTGGGATTAAGTACAAGGTGGTGAGGAATGGCATGGGGTCGCCATCCACGTGTCCAATTCCCCATATCAGAGTTGGGGGTGCGAACAGTTCAGTCAAGACTGAAGTCACTTTTCTAGAGCGCCTGGAAAGAGGGGTGAGGGCGTGATCAATCACAGCCCCCCTCTCCCTCCCTGCGGAGAGTGCCTGGGCTCCGTGCCTGCGTTCCCCGCCCGCCCAGCCCCGCGCTGCGCAGGAGCGCCCCCCGGTGGCGGCGTGGCGGAGCTACCTTGGTGCCCTGGTGGAAGTCGTCCACGGACCGCGAGCCCATGAAGGGGAACTGCATGTGCGTGTGCGTGTCGATGCCTCCGGGCAGGACGAGCCGGCCGCGCGCGTCCAGTACCCGCAGCCCCGCGGGTACCCCGCCAGGCGGCAGCAGGTCGGGCCCCACGGCGCGCACCACGCCGTCCTCCACCAGCACGTCGACCACCTGCGAGAAGTCGTCGTTGACCACGCGACCCCCGCGGATCAGGAGCCGCGACGGGGACGCCATGGCGAAGGGCGCGTGCGGTGGGCCTGCGGGTGCAGGGGGCGCCCTCCTTCAAGGTTCCCAACAACAAGCTCCACTCCCGCACAACGCTGCCGGTGTCGGGCAGCCCGAGTTTATGAACCGGAGCTGGTGCAGCTCCACCCCGGGGTGGGCTGGGCCAGGGCCGAGGCAGCGCACAGCTGGAGCCATGCGCATGCAAGCCTTCCCTAGTCGGACCTCGGGGCTCACTCCATGGATCCCAGTCGGGGGGCGGTGGGTGAGCCGTCCAGGACTCGAAATGACTGCAGTCAATTTTTGGAGTTTTGAAAGTAAAGGATATGGGTTGTTTGTGTTTTTTTGGTTTTGTGTGTGTGTGTGTTTGTTTTGGGTTTTTCCCCCATCATGAGAATAGACAGTTTGGGGAAATAGAGACATGTTAATCTCTTCCCATGGTGCAAAGTGTGCACCAAAAGACCAGAGCAAGGGGATTTAAGAGGAGGAAAGGGGAGAGAAGGGGAAGAGAGAGAGAGAGCTCAGCAAGAAAATACCAGCCAATGGGTGACCCTGGAGGACATTATGCTGAGTGAAATATCTCAGTAATGAAAGGACAAATACTGCATAATGCCACAGTAATAAAATAGGACTGATATGGGGGTTTGGAGGAACCTAAGAAAAGAGGGGATAAATAATGAACACTGCATTGGAACAGATGAGGGAAAGAACTGTTTAAAAGGAATATATGATTAGGCATTATTTGCATGGCAAAACTCCAGAATAAGAGCTTGCATAGTAAAGTGAACTGGGGTGGGGGGCGCAGTGGAATGTGCAATAATGAATGAATGGAAATCCAAGTTTTCTGTGAACTTACGTTAAAATATCAAAGAGAGCCATAAGGAAAAGACTTGCTGTGCCCTAAAGCGGAAGAGAACCATTCCGTCTTGTTAGGTCGGTGGGTTGATCTACGAACAACAGGTCTGAGCCCTGTCCTCTCCCATGCCATCCTCACAATCTCTGGCACACTGAGCCCATTGCTGTAGTCACTGTGTTGAGGGTCTACTTCTCCTTTGTGGTCTTTTCTTTCCAAGCATGATGTCCCTTTGCAAGGACTAGCCTCTTCTAGCAACATGCCCCAAGTATGTGAGAAGAAGCTTTAGCATCGTTGTCTCCAAGTACCATTCTGGCTGCACATTCTCCTAAATATTTGTTTGTTCTTTTGGCATTCTGTGGGATAGTCAGCAGTCTCCTCTAACACGGCAGTTTCACTAGACTTCCTTTTAAATATGTTCTGATTCTATGAGGCATTCTGGTGAGTGGCCTAGCATATTACTTAGTGGGCTATTAGAACGAAAGCACTACTGTTCAACACCTCCACTGTGGGAGAAGGATGGGGAGTCTCCCCTAAAGACACATCACCTTGGAAACCCATAGACGGCCCCTGTGAGTCGAGTCAGTGGACAGCTGTGGTTTTGGTTCACTATATAGTAGTTGCGCTGCCAAACCAAAAGCCAGTGGATCAAATCTTCCAATTGCTCCATGGGATAAAGATGGGCTAATCTCCTTCGGTGGGATTTACAATCTGAAAATTTGCTGGAGGGTTAGCTATGGGTCACTTCCAACTTGAAGGTACACAGCACAACATAAAGTGAACAAAGGAGTTCTGGTGGTGCAGTGGTTAAAGAATTCCTCTGCTAACCAAAAGGGGTAGGGGAGATGTGGAACTCATCAGCTACACAGGGAGAAAGATGCAGTGAGTAATTGATGCCTTTATGTAGCTCAGCCTGGAAGCCCTATGAGGTACTTCTTCTCTGTCCCATCTTCTTGATAGGGAACTCTCGTGGCCTGATGGGTAGGGTATTTTGCTACCAACCTAAGGACCCATGGTTTAAATCCACCAGCTGTAGATTTGTGGAAAACCCATTGGAGGGTCAGCTATGAATTGGCTCTCACTCCGCAGCAACGAGTAAATTAGTGAAAGATGACTTCATGGCAATTGTTGGTTTTGTTTAGCTTTTCTCCAGGTCATTTTCTTTTTTCAGGTTTTAATGGTGTAACACATAATGGTATTTCTTGGACAGTAACACAGTGTAGTGCTGAAGGATCTAGGTCTTAAGTCCCAGCATTTCCACAAAACTATTTTAGAGTTTCTCAATGAAATCATTTACTTCATAAATCCTCAGGTTTTTCCACAGAAAAAGTCAACTGTCCATTGGCAAAACCTAGGAAAATATCACTGCATTTGGTGGCCACTCCTGACCTCTAAGATGTTTTCAAGAATAGACTACAAGATAGTATTACTATTGCCAGATTTCGTTAAGTTTCAGATTACACAAATCACAAATGGAAAAATTAAAACGCATCTGTAATTTAAAGTTCCATGGATTTGGCTGTCAAACCAGGAAAGAGAGACTGGAGAGTTGTGCCATTATTGTCAAAAGACCATTGTGTAAAGGTGAAAGGAGTAATTAGACACATAATGAAACTCCCACAAGCCGTGCAAGTAAGCCCCACTTTAGGAAAATAAGATTGGCTATCAGCATGGTGTGACATCTTTTCTAAAACTGTCCTGATTAAGGATTACAGGGGTTTCTTTATCTTAGTCATTTTATATCATGAAATGCTCTGAAATACAATATAATCCCCATATTTAATTAACACAAATTTTGTCTCAAGAAAGAAGATTTGTAAAATACCAGGAAAGCAGGAAAAATGGGTCACTGAGAGTCATGAGACAACAGAAGAGAGGGAGCAGTGTTTAAGGGTGAAATGCTGACTTGCTGAGCAGAAGTCTTAGGTATCCACAAAAGACACCTCAAGTGCTGGCCGTTAGTAAAGAAAGCAATTTTCTCAGTTTAAGAAACAAATTTTCTCACAGTTTACAAAACTAGACATCCAAATTGAGAGCACTACCTCAAGGAGATCTCGATTCCTTCATTCTCTCTCTCTCTCTCTCTCTCAGCTCTGGTGGAAGGCTCTTGCCTTCAGCTTCTGCTTCCTAATTCCTTGACGATCTCCGTGTGTCTTGGCCTCTTTCTTACCCAGTCTCTCCTCTGCTTGCTTGTTCAATCTCTCCTGTTTCTGGTGGTGAAATCCACAGGGTGCTGTACTGCTAACCAAAAGGCTTCAAATCCAGGGCTTCAAATCAACCAGCTGCTCTGAGGGAAAAGCTGGCCAGTCTTCTCCCTTTGTGATTCCTAACCTCTGAAACCCCATGGAGGGTCAGCTAGGAGGTGGAACCAACTCAATGGCAGTGAGTTAGATCTCAAAAGAGATTGATCTCAGATACCCTCCAATAACACTGCCTCACGGATAGAAAAAAGCCCGCTCCCAAAGAAGATTCTAACCACAAGCATAAAGGTTAAGTTTATGGCACTGATTTTGGGGGACATAATTCAATCCATGATAAGCACTTTCCATCCCCCTTCCCCTTTTCTAGCCATCATCCCCCAGGGCACTGTGCAAGCTGACTTCGGCACTCTCTCCCTTTTTCTTTGCCCATTTCAGCTTCTTCCTTCTCCAGACACTCAGTGACCCCAATTAGTACTAACAAGTGTTACTGAGACACGAGGTTGGCACTTCCAGGAAGATGGAACAGAGGACTCCTACTGGTTTACAAACTTCGTGCTGAGGAAGGAATCAATTTGGAACACATTCATGTGAAGAAGGACAAAGATTGTTGCTCCTTAATTCACAGGAGCACCTCTGCTTGAGAGTGTGTTGCTGTTGTTTTTAGATGCCATCAACTCGATTTAAAAAGGAACACTCAAGGTTGTGACCTTATGGAATCAGATTATTAGTCTTGTGAGGCATCTCTGGGTAGAATTGAGTTATCAAGTTGATAGTTGTCAAGCACTTAACTTCATCATCCAGGTACAGTCAGACAGGTATGTCTACCATGACAGTTTCAAGCACATCCTATAGCAATGTGCTGTGACTTGTTGTACAAATTATACAAATATGGTTGCTTGAAAAAAAATCATGAATGTACTCTCTTACTATTACTAGAAATTGTATAAGCTGAGTATAAGCTTGCACTTGCCAAATTCCCTTCAATTTGAGTTTTGTTATGTATGAATTCTTTGCTGAGCTTGTCAATTCTTCTAGAGTTCTGTTTCCCCTACTTGTTGTTATTGTGTACTGTCAAGTCTGAACCAACTCATAGCTGACCCAGCAGTAGGTTTTAAGAGGCTGTAAATAGCATGGGTAGATACGGCCTATTTTTCATCTGTGGAGCATCTGTCTGGCAAATTAGAAAGATTGTGTTGATAGTGCAATTCCTTATCACTACATCACTAGAGCTACAGTTACTGTAAACTTTAAACAAACAAAAATTCATTTAAAGCATGGTGCTTGCTAGAAATTATTAGAAAACACAACTGTTTTATTTCTATATTCTCACAACTTTCTTTTTTAATAGTCAAAATTTTTAAATGTGAGACCCATATGCTCATGAAATATTTCCACTGATTTTGAAAACAATAGTTTTAAGATCTAAGAGCAAATCACTGGGGGAAGGGAATGCTACTTGGAGTTTACTACCTAGAAAGAACAGAATTTAACATTGTAATTTATGTTCTGTAAGTAAAAACTTACCGTTGGGTTTACAGGTCCATGAATTTAGATAAACACAGTCATGCAACCACATCACAAAAAACAGAGAACATTTTAGTGACTCCACAATATGTTTTCATATCTCTTGCCATCAATCCTTTCTCATCCCAATCACTGTTAGGTGTTTTAAGCTTCTTCCTAGTCAGAGCAGCCCTTATGTACAACAGAGTGAAACACTTGCCCAGCCCTGTACCATTCTCCACATTGGCACATGTCTCTAACACATGGTCACTGCTCTAACACGTGTTTTGTTTTGTTCTTGTGTTTTTTATGTTTTTTTTTAAAGTACACTTGATGTTGAGCTCGGATACAAGTAAACTGCAGTTTTTTTCAGACCAAGAAAATTCACCTACTTTGTTTCTAAAAGTCAACAGCATCTTTGCAGCACTGTTCTCGTTTCCTATATCCAGGAGAGA